TTTCAAACTGGGCCCAGGGAGAGGACTGACCGGCATCTTGTCATAAAACCCATTCTTTATCCCTGAATTAGGTAATCCTTCAAGTATTGAAAACTATTAGTTCGAATGATACTTGTTCAACGGTATCTCACCAATCTGTAATTTTATCTAATTTCTTTGTCAACATTCCAGCATTTAACAATTGAAGCAGTATATTTTTCTTTTCAAATTCAGTCCGTAAAGTTTTCATTTTTCCTATCAGAGTGCGTGTTTCATATGGTGCCAAGCCAATTTATGTAAAATTCTCAGTCTTTAGCCATCAATCATCTGTCATCCATTGGTGCTAATGTGATTCCGGCAAGTACCGATCTTCGGCACTCTCTGTCACCCTCGGTTGATCTCTGTAAACACTCTCTCGATAAACTTTGCAAGATAAAATTGATTATTGATTGAATTTACTGCCTTGCAAGGCTACATTTTCAACATTCTAAATATCTATCAGTTCAATAACATTACAAATCAAAAGTTAGCATTCTGCAAATAGGCATGTAATATCATTATGGGTCAAAGCCAAGATTGAATGTGAAAATTTCAAAAAAATGGTTACGAAATATCAGAACACTTAAGAAGGAGCGTCGTATCAAATAAGAAAAAGTCTTCAAAAACTAGTATACTCAAATCAATATAGTTGAGGATTTTTTCGACACTGATTTCACTCTGAATGAAATTCAGAGTGAAAAGACTTTTGTACCCATATTTTGCCAGGCCTCAAAACGATAAATCGATTAAATTATTTAAAGTATAGTTAGATTCAAAAATGAAGGGCTTAAAACGAACAAATTTTTGCTAAAAAACGGCGAAATGATTATCTTTAACCAGACTAAACGGTATGGCTACATCTAACCGTCAACTTGGTTTATAAAATCATGTAAATGTCCTACAGTTGAATTTTTTGATGTGGTGAAAGGTTGGTCTGTTAAAACGCAGTCCCACTAGTGGATTATTACGGATTGGGTATAAACTTTTAGAACAGAAAGAAGAAAAGAAAGACTTCAATTGACCTTTTAACGTTTTTAAAAAACTAGAGTTTATAGATTACACTATTTTTCAGAAATTAATGAAGTTTGTTTAATTTTTATTAATTATGGCGCAATTAGCAGTCAGGCATCGACATTTCAATACTTAAGGTCTGATGATATAAAAGACTAATTTGGTGACTCTGTTATGCTGACAAGGAACCTTCTAATAGCTGCATTGTCTATTAGCAGCTCAACTATCCGTAGGCTTAAGGCATTGAATGATGTATTAGTTCCTTATCTCATTTTTTTTGATAAACAAGTTGAAATCGGGGAAACCCCTATTATACTGACTGGCTCAAACTAACGTAAATGGTTCTCATCTACTGATGTAAAGGTAAAAAATCAGTTTAATAATTTTTGGTATTCCTTGTAAGTTATAAGATTTTGATTTAGGTAAAAAACGGGCCTCAGAAAGATTGGAGTTCAACAATTGGTCTTGTCATGAGTATTCAAACAAATTCTGAGTCTAGTAGACAAATTAAAATTGGGTTTTTGATCAATCCGATGAGTGTGATTTAGTTTCTCACAAGTTAATTTTGGAGGTTCCCAGCACAAAATAGTTGAATTATATCTGTAACAAAAAAAGTTGAAGTTCAAAAATCAATACTATGGGACATAAGTGGGTGCTAATTTAAACAAAGTTAAACTCAACCTTCTTGCAAATGTGCTGCACAAAAAGGGGCAAAAATACCAAACTTTTAAACAAGTTGAATGAGGTTAGTATCGCTTCAAATTAAATGATCTCACAAGAAATGGGAGCTAGACAAAAACAATATTCATCAGTAAGACTAAAATATGTGATTTAAATGACAAAAAAAACGATTCAGTGTTTTGATACTGTTGTTGGAACCAGTCTTGTAGGTCTAAAAAGGAAAATGAATTAAAATACAAGAGTCAGGTTGACTATGGTGAAGAAAAATCATCAAAAAAAATATACTCTCCAATTATTCGGAAGAAATGGCAATATTTGAAGTAGAAGTCAAAAGCAAATAAAAACAGTGAAACTGTTTTAATGACCATTACACCCATACTGAATTTTTAAAAATTGTCAACGAAAAAGATCACACAGTGTAGAAAATGTCTGGAGTGAAAATCTACCAAAATTGACTTAAGCTAAAAGTTAAGCTGGCCAAAAGTTTGCTTATAATATTCGTTCGAAAGTAATAAATAAGGGTTAAAATAAATTGAAGAATACGTGAATTTATTCACCGAATCAACAAAAAAGGTAGCATTAGTTGTGAAAAAAATTCAATATTTATATTAAGCCTGCATTGAAATCATACTAGCATTCGTAGCTATCATTGTATTTTGTTCCTTTGTTTTTTCTACCTTCCTTTGAAAGTTGAAAAAGGTTGATTATTCACTTGATTAAGAATGTTTTCACAATTCATTCAATTTTTTTATGTAATAATTAATAGCCTGAAACGTAATTGCTCTCTCTCTCTCTCTCTTCTCTCTCTCTCTCTCTCTCTCTCTCTGCCTCTACCTATCTCCCTAAGAAGTCGCATGAGCTTGTTAACCGTCGCTTTGATTATACGTTGCAGTAGCGCACAACTTTTCAACTTCAAAACCACTGCTATCTCATCAAAAATTTCGCTCATATTAAGTTGAAACACTTTTTTTAAAGTTTGGTCATTTGAATGGTAGCGTCAACTGAGGTTTTCATAAACGCTTCATAGGAAAATGAAACTTTTGCGTTTTCCGATACGAATAGTATTCTTCATTGTTTGATTTCTATTTTGGCTTGTTATAACACAGTAGTTATATTAATTTGATTACCCTTGCGATAAGCAAGATTTTTGCAATTGGGTTACTAGACTTTTTTCCCGCAAACTACTTTATTCACAGGATCAGATCTCCAATTTCACGATCTCTATTTCTATCTATCGAATATGTACGTCTAATAGTTATACTTTAACAGCTATAGTTGAACAGCTTATCTAGATCTACTGAAGTGGTATTGGGTATACACCTTGAAAAGTTTCATATATATATATATATATATATATATAGACTTTTTTGTCGGCTGTATTGGTTTCGTCCCAATTGTTGTCTGTTTACTTGCAAGGTGTTTTTTTTCTCAATTGTTTTATAGACGTGTTAAGTGTTTTTATCATTTTCTAGTAGATAAAAATGGTTTATGGTTTCCTGGTTTTTAAGCACGCCAAAGTTTCTCTTTGCTTTATTTTTTCAGTTTTTTGTATGCATGGTTTCTGATTAAGTATTTTACATCTAAAAATGGGTGGATAAATTGTGTTTTAGGAATGAGCAATTTTTAGGATTGGTCAGTTCAAGTTTATGGCTTAGCCTATTTAGAAGCATTGAAAACTTTCGGATTTTTTTCAAGTTCATTTTGTTGCAAACTTTTGCATTCAGTTTTTTTGTTATTTTTTCAACTTTTGTTTCCATTTTTTTCATAGTTTTTATCAAATAACGGAAAGCAAAATTTTTGATAATTGATTGCTCCTGTAGGATATGCGGGTTATTTGGGTTTAAATTTCCAAGCAATGTGTTTTAGTATATATACATTTTTTTTCTTATCGGTTCTACCTTTCGGTTATTAGAAAACAAATGAATGCAGTAAATGTATCCTGAATCCTCCTTACATTGTAGGTAATTAATTTTGTTGACGATTGCAAAAAAAAACGATTTCTTTAATTTTTTCAACAGAATTTACTTAAGTTTTTCGTTTTTCGTTGGAGACACATTATCTTTAGATTTTCGGCTTTTTGTTTTGTATCGCAAGTGATGAGAGGCTCTGCTTCGCCTCTGTGTAAAATGCATAATTTGCTGCTTGCTATGTATAAGGCGTGAGAGTTGTGATAAATATTAATTCAACAAACTCTGGAACAGGGTCGTTGGGGAGCGTTTTCGGGTTGATCAAAATGTTTTTGTTCATTTTATTCAACTGCATCTTCAAATCCTTAGTAGTTTTTCTCGTGATTCTTTTTGGCATCTGTATGCTAAGTGCGACTTGGGTCCGTGATAGGATTTATCATTGTGAAAAAAAAACTCAATTTAGTGAGGGGCTCTTCTCATGCTCGAATGACCGTATGCGCGACAATTTTAATTTCAACCAATTAATGCTTTTTATTCCCCCAATATAGTGTTCACCATCCTAATTATTCGTGTCTTTATTTCACAATTCTAAATAAACTTGAAACAGAACTTTCTCTCCGCTTTTTCTCGATACTGGTAAAAAGTTTTAATTGCAGATCGAATTCCAGCTGACCTTTAATTGTGGTACAGAAAAAATCGTCAGAAAAAAAACAGATCTTACGACAAAGTTCTTCCATGCTACATCGGTACAATAAAAAACATCTTTCGCTTCAGTTTTTTTTTCTAAAAGTGATAATTTTATAATTCATACAGAAAAGTTTCCAGAAATAGAGAGACTTTTCAAGCGTGCTGTTCATACTTTTTAGTTCATGTTGATTGTTGTTCCGACTTTCGTAACGAAAGTAACGGAATATTTGTGCTCGGGGTGGGTTTTTTTCTTCAGACAAATTTCGACTTTTAAACTAGCCAATTTTGACGGAGCTTTTTTATATCATTCAAAACGTATTGTTGTCCTGAGCTTCAATTTGAAAAGACATTTGGCCTGTAATCATTTTTTGTAAAGTTATAGGGGTTTAAAGATCGCCATTTTTGCCAATTAGGGACAATTAATGCGCGATATATTTCTGTCTTAGAAATCGTTCCAAATTGGTTGAAGGAAGCTTATTTGCCATAATAGTTTTGCTACTAGGAGCGAAATCTATCACTTTGTACTTTATATGGCGTGTGAGGGGATGATTTTCGCAAAAATCTCAAATTGAAAAATATATGTTTTATTTTTTTTACATTTAATTTTCCATGTTATTACTGCTCCATAGACCTTAAAAGACAGTCGGAACATTCAGGGCCTCGCCCTAATACGAGCAGTCTTGTTTGTCGTTGTAGGACATCACTGTCGACTGCGACGAATTACACGGTGACAGTTCAAAGTGCGTTCAACTGCTCGGCCGTGGGTGAACTCAAAGCTGACTCGATGTCGCCCTCCATTACTCTATTCACTCGTTAGTTTTATTGTATATTTAACCGCCCATTTCTTCTTCAGTCATTTTGACGTAACCAGATCTACAAATTTTCAATCACATTTACGTACACTTACATACATGCACTCACTCGGAAAAAGAGCCCAAAATTCGTTCAAACGACTTTGGCGCTAATTAATTCTACCTTTAGGGAGAGAGCGCGTGCCAAAAAATGTAAACTTTGGTCGACTGTTTTCGAAAGTGCCCAAAACACAAACACTGGAACAGTAAAAATTGCGTGCGACGGCATACGAAATAGTGTTTTGAGTCTTTCCGGAGAGCTCGGAAAATCCCAGTTTTTGGCCGATGAAAAAGAAATGGACCTAAGTTTTAAAATTTTTAACAATCCCCCCCCCCTCTCTCGAGGAAGGGATCATGTCTCAAAAGTGTTCAAAAAATTACAAAAGTTTGTTTCGGAAAAAATAGACTGATGCTTGTGCACAGAACTAAAAAAAATGTATATAGTCACATTTAATCAGTGATAAAAAACTGCCTTCGTCGGTCAACTTGAGTGGTTAGTGCTTTATAGCTCTGATGTATTTCAGGTCCTAGACCGCCCATCATTACTTTGAATAACCTGCCTTTGAGTGGTGTGCCAACGGCCAATTACATGGAGGTGGAGATAGCTCTTGACAACGCTGATTCTTCAAGTGCCGGTTCAATTACATTCGACGTGAGTGCTTTTTGACATCCAAAACCAACTCCATAACTTAATGGCATGTATTTTCCGCTTCATCGTTGGTTAAGGTTTTGGGTCTTTAGGTGTCAGTGGCACTGTTCGGTAGGGGCAATCGACTTGGATGCTCGAGGCCTGTTATTCGATTCCCTTAAAATGAATTCATTTTTCAAAACTAATTTTTTTTTTCATACCTTTTTCTCGTTTTTTAACTAAACTTGCTGCGCTACTTCTTGTTGTTTTGTCGCTTGTGTTTACGAATTCCAGCTTCAGCTTTGTGGTAAGTGTCCCTGTTTTACATGTGAATATAATTTTGAACAAGAGAATATCTGCGTTTTGGGGTTTAGGAAACTAGACGACCAGCAAATTAGACGATCAGAAAATAACAGAATTTAGACAATAACTTGCGTGAAATTTGTTACTCTCTTAAGTTATTTTTTGGCTGAGTAAATACTCGTTGTCCAATTTAGACAATAACTTGCCAGCAAATTGCGTAAAATTTGTTTACAGACTTAAATTAAATTTTAGCTGAGTAAATACTGGTTGTCCCTAAATTCCGTTTTTTACGGTCTTCTTATTTCTTGTCGTCTAATTTCCTAGGCCCTCTGCGTATTAACTAGAAAGCCGAAATTAACTATTCAAACATAAACATCGCCTGTTCTTTAAACGAGATAAAAAAACAAAAACAAGTTTGCTTTACAAAACAAATACAAAAGGCAGTGACTATTACCTCGGGTGTGGTCTGAAAAACTCTCAAGAAAAAGCTAGGAATGCAGCAAAGAGGCACTAAACATTACCAAAATAGGCAATTGGGCGCCGTGTTGTGAGTTATGCAGCTACTGTCTGTGCACTCTAAAAAAATGAGTCTTGTTGAAAATATCTACCAACTTGACGAAATATAGCTCCGAGAAGTGACACCAGCTGCGCAAAAAGGACCACAATTAAACGTTTTCATTTTGAAAGGATTATCAAATCAACTTTTGTTGACAAGATGATGATGATAACAAAATTTTGATGATACCTTGAAATGTCTTGATGAAAAACACCACCTTATAGCAGATCATTTCAAAGTCATATTGGAAAAGTTACACACGGACGGGGTGAAAAAACGCTACCAAACAACCTTAAAACAGTTGGGCTCTCAAACTCTAGAAATACCTTTTGAAGAAACAGCCTTCTCAAAACTCCACGACGTGCTCTTGTTCAATTCGGTTGTTATTAGAGGACAAAAATTGCAACGCTTCCGAGAGCAAGCGTCTTGTAATCGGGAACTAGATTTTTTCCAGTAAAAAACTTTTCTTACATATCTGATGTTGAAATTTAGGTTGCTTTATTAGTGAATCTTAGAAACTTTGAGACTTATTCCGACATGGTCCAGAGGAACCTAATTGCCATTGTATGCTAAGATCTGTAGTTCGATTCCCGTGTTGACCTTGTCTTTTTTCAGTGAGTATGGGAAGAAATTTCCGGGAAAAAATTGAATTGTCGGACTTTCGTCTGTGTGTTTTTGTTTTGTCTGCAGAGCTGCCAATTTGTAGAGTTTATTAGTGCAGCCAGTTATTTTCATCGTGGATGCAAGTGTGTTTGATGTATTTTTGTTATTCATTAAAAATATTATATCTGACTTTGTATATATATTTTTTGTTTTTATTTGCGTGTATAAGATTTGTTTGGCTTTATTGTTCTATGTTAATATTTTACCGATTCTTTTTACCCTGATTGCGTCGCTTGAAGGGCAAAAAACGATTGATTTTTTAGAAAGCAAAAATTTTTCGTGTTGCTTTTGTTGCAAAGTTTTTAAGACTTAATTGCTCAAACAATTTTCATGAGAACAACTTCTCATGGCCTTTTTTTCGTTTTTCGTTCTATTCATTTTCGGTTTAGTGGCTGCACGGAATAGACTAAAAACTTAAATAAAGTTGTTTTGTAGTGTTTTTTGACTGTTTTTTGTTATTTCTTAAATTAAAATAATTTTGCATCAGAAAAAGTCAAAAGTCGCTCAGAACAACTTGAGTTCTTTTGGACATGCTGGAAATCATATGCTAGCATGTAGTCGCTGGAATCTGCGTTGAATCTTACTGAATTTTTTCTCCCAAATCATAAATTCCTGTCAGAAGGGCCGAAAGATTATTCAAGCGAACTTGTAGGGTATGTCACGTTTTTAATCAGATTTGCCGTTTGGAGTTCAGTTGAACTTTATTTTTTTCCTTGAGGTCATCTTTTCGCATCATTCGTTGTGCGTTTTTGGGGTGTGCGGTTTGTTATAGCCTAACATGCAAGATTTTATTTGAACCATTATCCAGATTTTTGTCGACATCGGATAATCCAAAAGAGCGACCAGATTTTCGAAGTGATGGGCAGCACATACAATTTCTCAGCTGCTCGTGATACAATTCGATGGCTTAAAAAAATGATTTTCATCGCATTTTCTCTACAAGACTGCAAACTCATAATATGACAACACGTAACAAAAAAAAACTAGCCAAACATGCAACTTGCGAAAATGAACAAATAATTGAACAAATTTCCAACTACAATCAAGTTTACCTGGAAACACTGATTCGTGCGCATGATTTTATCCATGCCAACTTTGAATGCAGCGGAACAAGCGGTGCTTCTTGCCAAGGCCGCGTCTTAATCTTATTATCGAATAATCCGAGTTGTAATTTTCCTCTAACTTCGCAAATTGTCTTTTGTTGATACTTGATTTCGATGGCTCAAAAAAGCTAATTTTAACGCAGTTTCTCTACAAGACTGCAAACTCATAATATGACAATCCGCAACAAAAAACTAAAATGTATTTTTTTGGAAACACTGATTCGTGCGCATTGTTTTACTCATGCCAAATATCAGCGCGATTGAGCTCAAGCGGTACTACTTGCCAATGCCGCGTCTTAATCTTATTATCAATTAATCCGAGTTGTAATTTTCATCTAACTTTGCAAATTGTCTTTTGCTGCTCAAGGTGCCTTTGTTGCGAGTTGTTGCTGCTCAAGGTGCCCTTCAAAATGGTGAGTTTAGACTTTGGCCCGCACCGGAGTTTTATGGGTAAAACTCGATTATAATGGAAAATTGTCGTCTAAAATGCCATTGTAATCCATTATTGTTGCAAATTTAGACCACAAAATTGATTATATTGTCATTATTATCGATTATTTTTGTGAAAACACAATCCATTAAAATCCATTATAATGGAATATAATCCATTATAAATGATTATAACGGATAATAATCTTTACATTTTTTGCATAATCATTTCAGCATAACTGGCAATGTTTCTGCCTTATTCCCGGCCTACTCGCTAACTAAACAAAGTCAAATTAATCCCCTCATTTTGCCCCTATCCGCATTTTCCCCTTCCCCTCACCCCTTACAACCTCAATTAAACCACTCCCCTACGTTTATCTCTACGCCCACCCCCAAAGCTTACTAAAGTTTACCCACAGGCCCAACCCAACCCCCCCCCAAATTACAATTTACCCCCCAGCTAGCTTACCTTTGAACGAGGACGGGGTAGGGGTGTTACTCAGTGTGAACTACACCTATTTCTCCCCATTCTCCATTTTAACCACCCTCGCCCAAGTTTTTTGTTCCACCCTCCCCCCTTCCCATTTTTACCCCACCCAAGTTCAGTAAACGGGGGAGGGGGGTTACACCAAGATAGGGGGAGGGGTAAACTGAGGAGAGGAAAAAGGGGAGGGGTGGGGGGATGTAAACTGACGAGGAGTATAAACTGGGGGAGGGTGTTGTTAAAAGAGGTGATGGAGCTTACGTAGTATAGAAAAAGTAGAGAAAACTTAAATAAACAAAATCTTAAATGAAAAGTAAAATTCAGAAATGTATTACGTAGCAATTGCAAGAAACATGAAGTGAGATAACTCGGAAAAACGGTTGCAAAATTCATAACTTTTTTCTCAAAAAATACATTTTGATCGATTATAATCTGTTATAATGGATTATAATGATTTTAAAAGTATTATGATTATAATCCACTCTTAATGGATTATAATAGACTACAACGGATTATATTGGATTATATTGATATAAAAATACTAGGATTGTAATCAGGGGCGGATCTAGGATTTTCTCGAGGGGGGGCGGATTTTCAAAAAAATTTCGAAATTTTTGTCGACCTTTTTTTTTAGGTCGACCGAATTGATTTTTCGAGCTCTCCCTAAGCCTGTTTAGTCCCTATTTTGGCAATTTTCTGCGCCAAAAACAGTCCAAAAAAGGCATTTTTAGGTACTTTTTGGAAAATGTTGACGAAAAAATTTAGTAATTTAGCTCCCCCCTTAAATTTAGTATATATATTGGCACCCTAGGCGCCTTTAGAAAAATTTTAGGGTCGGTCGGCCAAAAATGGATTTCTTTTAAAAGTAGCAAAGGGGGGACCCTTTGGGTTGGCAGGGGTTCGAATCCCTGAGGGAAGGGCGTCCGCAACCCCCCCCCCCCCCCCCCCCCTAAATCCGCCCCTGATTGTAATCCATTTTTGATGGATTATAATCGATTATTTTTGTAATTTTATATATACTGACAATAAAATGACAATTTAATCGATTATTATCCATGGAATTCCAGTGCAGGGGGCACTCACATTGTACAAAAATTGTGAAAGGGAGTTTTTATAGTTCGGGCGTTAAAATATTTTTTTGGCTGAGTGTAATCAGAAATGAGAATCAAATATCTGATGAAGTAATGAAAGAAATTGAAATAATTGCTCGAAAAAATTTGCATAAAAAACTAATTTTTACTCTGTTGTAGTTATTTCGCAATGACGAGTTGATTCAGTCTGGTCTGTCTTACGCACTTGACGCAGGAGTGTTCAAGTACTCATTCACTGACGACGTTCCCCTGGCGACCGAATTCACCTACAAGGCCGTGAATTACTACAACAGCTATGCGTCCGATCCAGGGTTCGCCTACGAGTGTTCACGTCAGTAATTTTAGAGTCACATAATTGTTTATTACTGAGCACCCGCCTATAATTAGTTTTTCCTTGTTTGATATAATGCGCCAAAAGTATTCGTGGAAAACGCCTTTATAAGTTCATTGAGTCGTTCAACGAATTGAGATTTTTTGTTCAGAAACGTGTTCAACGAGTCGTGTTAGAACATGAAAACTTAGATCAACATGAAATCCTAGATTGTCGTATTTTTCGTTTAATGAGTTGTATAAAAAATCAAAATAAGATTTTTTTATATAACTTAAAGAAGTTTCTATCCTTGTAACGTAAGCAAGTTGAAGCAATTTTTGAATTGACAACAAATTAACGGAGCTACAGTTATCAATTTACAAGGAGTTTCTAACTTGATAAATTCTACTGGATTCTGACCTTAGTAGTCAAATTAAACAAACACTCTCTTCTGTTTCAGGAAGCGGTCCCGTTGAGAATATTCTAGTAACGCACTTCTTTCACTATCACGTGAACATCTCCTGGAGCAACCCGGTGAACTCAGGCGACCCTGTAGTGAAGTACTCCCAGTTGGTGAGGAATCCGACCGACGAAAATGACAGATCGGAGAACATAACCACCTCAATCTACTCTTCTGCTGTGCTGTCGTCTCTACCAGTGCCCACTAACACATCTCAATACGTATCCATACGGCCTTTGTACGTTCGTTAGACGCTGCTTTTTACCCAATTTATTTTAATTATAGTGTTATAGATCGATCTTGGTATAAATTGCTGCCTCGACTATAGCCGAGTATAAAAGACCCATAGCGTATTTGGCAGATTGGAGGTACATTAGGGAATAATTATAATGTATAATGTCAGATTTGTTTTACAGCACTAGCGCCCCTCCCTTCTTTGATACTTCTTCACTAACATGAACCTCTAATATAATGGATATGCATATATGAATGATGAAAACTTTGGCATTGGAAATAAGAATTGCTTTTTAGATTGCCGAAACGAGCGGTTTTTGTCTTTATTCCGTGAAATTAAATTGAAATTATGTACTTTCTGAAATCTAACTGAAGGGCAACTTGTTGTGTTTTAGCACCCAGTGTGCCATAACAGGAGGTGATTTCCTGGAGGGCGTGGCTGCCGAGACCACCTTCGTCATGCCTCCTTGGCCCCCGACTCTCTCCTGTGGACCCCAATCGTCCACTGCCAACTCCATCCTCATCCAACGCAATGTCAGCAACAACGCAACTGTGTCTGTGCAAACTCTTCTCTGGCGAGATGATGGATTTCTTTCTGATAGTACGCAAAAAGTTTTGTTAATTCCAGTCTGTTTTTATTCCGGTTTGTTTTTTAATAACCTGAATGGAATGTTGATTCAACCACCTTTTGATCTTTTTCATTCACTCAATCTAACTTAGGCTACCCTGAAAAGAATTCTACAGATTTTAAAATACTAAAGGATTGAGGTTGGTCTATTCAATTATTCTGATTTTGAAACAAAACTGGGCACCATTAAGAAAACACTTGTCTTTACTTCTCGATTTTCTGCTATTTTTGCGAGCCAAAGAAAAAATTAACCAGTTTTTTTGATGGTGACCGGTTCAAAATAGTCATAGTTTAGACCTAAAACAAGCTGATAAAATTTTAATTTTTTCTCATATTTAAACATTTGACGGATTGAATATGAATTATGGAATAATCTCAAGATAGTTTTCATGATCGTGCATTTCATTACATCGTGACACTTATTGTGTCATATCACGAGTTTGTGTGCTACAGCTCCAGTAGACAACATCACAGAAGACACTGGCCTGATTCCCGGACGACAGTACACTTACAAGGCAGTGCTGATCCAGTATGGCCTGCAGTCAGACATGTCATCTGAGTGTCTAACCTGTCCGAATCCAGAGGAGCCGGTGAACTTGATGGCCATGCCACTGGACCACGAGAGCATCACTGTGTACTTCGATGCACCCGAAGGTAGATTAGGTTACAATTTTGATCCGTTGTAGTAATCAATTGTATGTTGCATCATGCGAATGATCACAGATAAAATCTCAGACGCCTGAGCTGACTCATGAGAAAAGTCAGCTAAGATAAATTTAATAGAAGGTTTATCGTAGATTTCAATGAAATAATAATAAATAGTACTGTTAAATTTGGCGCTTATTTCGTTTTTCAAAGTATAATTTTTTCCTGTGACAGCTAAAAAAAACACTGAGAGCTTAAACCGAGATTGGATTGAGAAAAGCTGTTCTTCTAGGAAACTTTGACGGTTTCGACTTCTTTGATGGCACGAATACAGACACCCAGGCTGACAACACCCTACGCAGCTACACTTTTACGGGACTGGCGGCCGAGACGAGCTACACCCTAAGTGTGAAAACCTACGTGGGCTGTACAGTGACTGCTTTGGGGGGAGCAGTATCTCTTTACTCCAATGGCACTGAATCTGTCACTGCTTACACTGGTAAAGCGCCGCCATTTCATTTTAAAAAGTTAAACAGAACTGCTCTGCTCACTGACTTAAGAACGAGAATTGTTCATGGTTTTTTGAAAAGCAATAATTTTCAATTTGTTTTTTCTTGACTTTGAGAGAGTTTTTATGCAGTTTTTATTGTAGCTCGGCTTTGGTATGATATATCTCTCAATCCTTTCTGCCGTTTTTTCTAGGAGCGTGATTTGAGTTTAAAATGCACGCGAAATCAAGATTTTTTCCTCCACTTCTGTAAGCGGGAGAACTTTTTTTTGGAGTGATTGCTTATGTCAAAACGCTCTGTACTATTTGCATAGCCGGCTAACTATACGCTCATTATCAAATAGCCAATTCATGACACCCTTGATGTTCGTTTTAGCACCTGATCAGGTGAACATCACTTTAACCCCACTGAGTGCGTCTGCGATCCAGATCGTGTTCGAGCATTCGCCCTCAGCTTACAAATACCATGTGTGGAGAGACGGGATTAAGATTGTAGACGGAGTAAGCAGCCACAACATAACTGACGACCAGGGACTGCAGGCTGGAACCATGTACAACTACTCGGCTGCCGTGGAGAAGAATAATGTCCTGTCGGTACACTCTCACTGGGTTAGTCAGTCTTGAAAATGAGTTGGTTTTTCTGGAAACTTTGAGGTTCGAATTTGTTCAGGCTCAAATTTGTTCAGGCTCAAATTTACTTTTTCGCGGCTTGACTTTTGATTTCTTTTCAAGTTCAGTTTCTTCCTTTTTTAAAAGGAAGTCAAACTCTACTATCAAACGACAAAATGTGAAGGTCACCCTAAACGTGATTGACGTCTTGTTTTGAAAGTGAAAATAAATTTTTAGATTTCCCAGCGATGAGAAAAATGTCATGAGTGATCCATTTTTCTCAAATTCTCAAATTGAGTGAAATATATCAACCAAATATATCAAAAAATGCCAATCACAAATTGATCTAGGAAACCAAAGAGCTGTAAGGGCATTTTTGTTGATTGAAAGTCGTTTCAAGATTGTAGGTGTATATATCACGAAAAAAGTGATCAAGTTTCAAATTTGAAAATGGACCATAATTTTCAGACTTCTCAGCAGAAGAAAAAACTTAATTATTTATCCATCTTTTTCAACTTGGGTTTTTTTAATCAAAAACGTATCAATTCTGTTCCTTGGTCTCATTGACACTTTTCCAACTCACTGTTGACTATGTTGCTGGAAATTTGAGTTAATTGAAAACTGAGTAACAGTCTGGAAATTGGGTTAACTATTTTGAAAACTAAGTGAGGTATTCTGGAAAGTGAGTAACGTTAAAAACTGAGTAACTCAATCTGGATTTTGAGTAGTTTGGGCCTTTGCTTATTCTGATCTATTTATATGTTCTTCCGATGTACAAAATAAAAAATCAGTATGGAATTCAATTGCTATAGCTCCATGTTTCCTTTGTACTAGTTGCAAAACGTTTATGATAGAACAAAGGTTGACCAATTTAAAAGTTCATGACAGAACAAGGAAGCATACTTTGCTAAAAGTAAGTTCTGAGTATACATAGAACTAAAAAATTGAAAAAGTTGTCTAGTGTTTGTTCAAGAGAGGTCAGCATATGATTCTCAGTACTGACCAGGTAGCTCAATTAATAAAAGCATAGGATGGCACTCATAAGATAATGGGGTCACAACTCACTAGATCCCAAACATTTAACCGTGCTAGTTTGTTGTTAACAGAGTATCAGCAAAAGATTAAGCTATGTTCATATGTTCTACGTTCGTTAGCTTCCTGAACTTATAATTACGATATGCTTAGGTAATTTTCTAAATAACTTTTTTTACATGAAGATTCATCATCAAAACGATAAGAGCATCAAGTTTTTGATCAAATTTCTTGTATTTTATACCAAACTTAAATGTCATTCTTTGAGCTAACTTTGTGAAAAAAACAAAAGCTTCCCTCAAAAGGATTTTACATTTTCTTATTCTTATATCCAAACTTTAGCTAAATTAATCCAAAAGGCCGATCTCAACAAAGGTGGTTTTGACAAATGGTAATTGTTTTAATGGAATTTGGAAATGAGTATAAATAAACCCCTGCCTCTATTCCGTCTCTTAGAGTCTCTACGGATTCTAGATTTTCTGATGTGATCCCTGGCTTTCAATAATGACAGATGCTGCCTGAGTTTAGGTTACGGATTTGAATCTCGAAGAAGTAAAGCATCCATTAAACCTGAAAGAAATATTGAAAATGATTCTAAAAAAGCATAGTTTTTTTTCAAAATTATCCTGAAGTTACGCCTGAACAACTTGTGTTTTTCCTAAAATTGTTTCAGTAAGTTTTTTTGACTTAGGCTATTTCTGACCAACAAAAACAAAAAATGTATTAAGTTTTATCGATCTTTCGTATAAACGATTTTGTGTTTGTCATATTTTCTATTAAAAAACTATCCGTCACGTAGTTTTAAAAAAATTAGGGCAGCAGAGCATGTGATTCTCATGAATTCTCTAACTGTACTCTCTGGTGCATTTTTTATAAATGTTGTTCAGTTATTCTTCTTCTTTTTCTTATTCTTCTTCTTCTTAGTCCGGAATAAAATTAGGTAGCTGTCATTTTGAAATTGAACTAATTGCACCATCAATGTTTCGCAAAAAATTTAGTATATTATAAGTGTTTTTATTAGGAAACATTACAAAAAAAATTAAACTGGTCGTTGAATTAAGGTATTTTTGTCTTGGCTTACAGGCGAAACATGATTTGTTTCTTTTAAAGTTAATGCAACTAAAAAAGATTGATAACAAGAATAGAGGGATTGAGCAAGAAGCACAAAAGTTTCCAACCACATTGATAAAAAAAATTGTAAGTATGTTTTTTCAATGTTTTGCTAATTTGTTAGCGTTGGGTGGTGTTATTAGAGGAATGACAAAAGCTTTTTGCTTATTTTTGGCAGATTTTTTTTTTTTGAACTTTGTCAAAAAGAAGCGCTAAATAAAGCTTCGATAACTTGTTTACTTTCTGTGGCTTTAATATATGGCAATTTTTCTATGGCTTAAATCACCAATTGTTATCTAATAAAGATGATTTGCTCGAGAATAGACTAAAAATAAAAAAATTCAAACCGGTTTTCCTCCACACTGAATATACTTTGCTTTTGAGGTAGTTCAAATTGATTGAAAAAAAACGGACTCTAAGCTCTAGTTCTTCCCAGTAACTTTCAGTGATGTGGTCGGACCAACAATAGATGGCCTGCTCATGTGTTGTTTTGAGATAATAAAGTACACAATTTATTTTTCAACCGTATTGGCACTATTTTGTTCAAATCATAGAATAATAGAAGAAACGGTTTACTCTAAAACAAGTAGAAAATACCTTTTCAGCAAGTGGCTTTTACGAATCCGGATCCAGTTACTAATGTAGAATTGATTGATGCCACCACGACAACACTCGTACTCAAATGGATTCCCCCAATAGACAACGTGGATGGGTACTTGTTGACCGTTGATGGTACTGCCAACCAGACTGAAGCAGATGCCTCGGATGTGCATGAGTTCACTGTGACTGTGGCAACAGCTGACACCGATTACAGTATTTCAATTTAGTTAGTAAATTACAAGCTATTTCATAAAAAAAAAACAAAGTTATAATTAAAATTTCATAAAAACAACTGTTTTAAACGCATGAAAAAAAGAACTGAAAACATTAGCCAACATTTACTGCAAGAATTATTTTTATTTTGATACTTCTTTGAACTTAAAATAGTTGCGAAAAAATTTCTGAACAGCTTCCTTGGGGGCTTCAATTTAAGAAATTAATTTCAACTTTCATTTGTTCGTTGGCGTTTTTCGAAAACTTTGTTGCATTTGTTTTCAGTTCGATAATCAACAATGCCAATGCGTATGGAGTGCAGGTATCAGATGCGAATACTGGTACTTATCGAACCTCAATGGAAGCCCCGACCATCGCCATCACTGAGGGGTCACACGCAAACTCACTTAATATATGTACGTCTGTCATGTCAAAAACGATCACACTTTTTCAAGAATTCTCGTTCAAAGCTCATATAACATGCAAATAAATTTCGTTTAAACTCAAACTTCATGAAAAGTTGAGTAAGAAATTGAATTTGAATTTGCATCTGCGCTAGATGAGTAAACAAATAGATGAGCTATACTATTGGCGAGTACAATAAAAATAGCGAAACTGTGGATAATTTAAAAAAAAATCATTTGGTGTTGATCCCCGCGCTCTGTAGGAGGAAAAATTTGCAACGATTCTACTTTTGTAACTTATCACAAAATTATCTTATTTCACAGAATCGCAAGTGTTTGTTCACATGAACTCTAGTTTTTGTGAACAAATTAATAGTAGCTTTATGAAGTGTAAAGTTAATATCACTTATATAGGTCTTGATGATTTTTTGTTTTTTTTTTCAGGAAAAAAAATTTAAAAAAATTAAATAACTACAGAAGTGCATCATACAGATTAATGCATTTGCTTATGAATGTATTTAGGTATATGCACTTTTTGAATCCAATTTACGTTCATTTGCTAAAATGTAGGCAAATTGCGAAAGCAAGAATGGCACGAAAAAAGTTATCGATTGTGGTTTTTTATTTTCAGGTTTCACAGCGGAATAAAAAAGTACCTATTGATCCAGTTATCAATTGGGTTAATTTTAGGAAAAATATGCCAATTCAAAGAGTTTTAACCTGATATGATTTTTCTTAGAAACTCTTTGAAAAATGTTTAAATATGTTGAATCAAAGTGTTTTTGGTTTCCTTCTTCTTATACACTAAAAACGTTTTGAATACGTTTTAAGTGTTAATTTAAATTATCGGAAAATGAACATAAATTGAAATTTAATCAAAATTGTTTAGTTTTTCACCAAAACTAATATGGTGCATTTTATTCTGCAAAATTTGGGGCCAAAAATTTACGCCAGTATGGGGTTATTTTTGCTGTTTTTAGTCAATAAAAAATTACGCGAAACCCTTTGAGTCAATTGGTAGGCAAATTATATCAAAGGGAGCCTTATATACTGTCCAACAAAGTTATAGAGGATTATTATCTCTAAAAATTTGTGGAAACCCACGTTTCAAAATTGTTTTCAAGTTAAGGACTGGAATTTTATATTGTAAAAACATCATTTTTTGGCTATCAAACAAATAATTTTTTACAATCATTTATAAAAATGTATTGGATATTATACCCTTTTATCTAAAACTTTGTTGGGCTCACTTTAGTATTACTTTTCATCAATTGACTGTCTATGTAGCGTATTTTTTGATAGACTAACTTTTTGGCACCAAATTTTTCGAATAATTTATGCCATTAATTTTTGACTAATCGCAAACCAATTTGAGAAAAAAAGCGTTCAAAATTTCAACTTTTGTTCATTTTGTTCGGATAATCAAATTTAAATCAGCACTGTATACATGAACTAGTTTTATAGCTTTATAACTTTATAGTTTTATGAGATTGACAATCAGGTTTTAAGCTTATGAAAAAGATTGAATGATAACTCATAGGGATGGAGGTCTCGAATTTTTAATGTGTATTTTTCAATCGATTAACCCGTTTAAATTAAAACTAATCTGTTCTTGTGAGTTTTGGTTCAAACTATATAGGGCTTTCTGGAAGAAAAAAAACTAAATCCAAGGCTAACCAAGTTTAGAATAGCTAGCCGCCTATTTTTCGGTTTTGACAAAAAAAAATCTGTTCTTATTTGACCGTTCTGATGTTCGTTCTGTTATTCTTCAGCTTTCACCGACAGTAAGAGCGATTCTGATCTTAATGAACGGGTATTGTACCGAATGTCCTCTAGCGGAGAACTCAATGTCATCCGGGAGGTCTCCTACACATACGAAGACTCTGACCTTCAGTTCGCTACCACTTACACTTACTATGGTAAGCATTCATTTCGACAATTTTTCCTACACAATGAGCGGAAACATTTCGTACTTGAAAGATCGGCTCTTTTTCCTATTTCCCTGCCACAAGATTAAGTGTGAACAACAAATATATTTTCCATGGTTCAAATTGTTCATTAGTCCTCATCATGGTAATTTTTATAACAATCGGACAAAGTGAACTTTTTTTTGAAAAAATGGAAGGTGGGCTGAAAGATCTTTTGATTTGTTGTTGTTAACCTACGCCTACCACTTTGGGCACAATATAAAAATGGTTCATGGTGGGAATTTTCTTAATCAATCTCAATTGCAAACCCAACCATTGCGCAAACCCAACCAACTGTGATGCTTAGTGGTATTCAGGAAGTGCTGTTAGTTAATCAAAATTGTCTATTTCAACTATTTCTTTATATTATCTAGGAGGTGTCAGGTTAATTTTCTGTGAGCCAAATAACCCTTTGACCGCAACTTTTTATTGTGCTAAAATGATTTTGATGCTTTTAACTTGTGAGCTTTGATGTACGTTTTGGTTGACTGTTGTTGTTAATAGCGACAAACTTTGGTCTCAATGGGTTCGAGACGGATGCCTCGGCCATTGTTACCTACTGCACGGACCCCGATGAGCCCCCTATGCTGCACCTGTCTGCATTCGATGCTACCGCTAACACATATGAAGTAGCCTGGCACAATCCCCAAATGCCACCCACCTGTGAGTTGTTTTAAACAGCGGAAGCTATTTTGGTTATTTGGATTTTCTGACTCTCTATTTACGGTCGGATTTGTAAAAAAGATAGGTTGGCAAATGAGCAAGTTTGGGTGATTAAACTTGGATCAGGTTTTTTGTAATATGCCACAATTTTAACCATGAAAATAATCATCGTTCAAAAGTATTTCTTAGAATAAAAGTTTCCAGTTATCGCAAGAATAGCTGTTTCCTAAGCGCTATGAAGTTTCAAAGGCTATGGCGTATTAACTTTGCAGTAAATTTAGTTTCCCAACAAATCTGGAAAAAGAGAAAAAAATAAATGTTTTCAACTCTTATTTCGAAAGTTTACCAAAAACCTTACAAAACATTTTACATGGTCATTTGAGCTGAAATGTATGCATGGCTCGAAAAAAGTATTTATGCGATGACACAAATGTACAATTGAAGTGTTAATTTTTTTTATTTTTATTTTCAACCCTAATTGACGTTCGTTTTAGACTACGACGTGTACGCGTTAGATGAGAACCTAGGTACGGTCCTTACTGTCCTCAACGTACTCGGTTTGAGTCAGGACATCACTGCCCTCCTCCCGGTGAGTGCGGAGACTTATAAGGTGGGGGTGACATCTGTGTACACTTGTGCCGCTGCAAACTACGACGGCAGCTCAGCTTCAGCTACAGGTTAGTTTCAGAGTATATTTGATGATTATTTTGGGATCAAGTTAACATTCTCCCTCCCTCCATCCCCCCTTCCCAAATAGACCAAGTTAAGATCCTCCACCCCAGCATTTGCTTCGCATTAAATTGGTACGCGTTGCATGTAAAATGTCGATTCTGATTGGCTGAAAAATCTCAACTTAGAACCAAGTTAACATCCCCACAAACGGCTTTGGAGGGAGTGGGAGGAGGAGGATGTTAATTTGGTCCCTATTTTGTTAGTAAGGTTTTTAGCGCAAAAGTAGGTTCCAGTAATAGAATCACCCGCTGGATTAACAAAAAAAACTTTTATTGATGTTTGCTTACAGCGGACCTTTTTTCTTTAGGTCGACCAATTTGATTTTCCGAGCTCTCCAAAATTACTATAAGAACCCTGTCTTGTCAAAAGTTTTCAGCGCCGCAGTCAAATTTTTCAAAAAACTGACCAAAAAACGGCAGCAAAAATATGCCAAAGAACTTTCCAAAAAACAGGCCAAAAAACAGACAGGCCAAAAAACGGCGCATTTAGAAAAACTTTTAGGTTCTTCAGCCAAAAATGGATGTCGTAAAGTTAACCCAAAGGGTAGACCCTTCGGAAAAATTTAGCAACCAGCACGCTATTGTTCCTGAGGGCTTATTCTTTTGACAGAGACCGAACGCACGAATATTTTCAGCCGATCAATGCTTTTTAAACAGTGCAACACTGAACGATTTTCCAGATTTTCAAATACTGAATTCTTATTGGCTAAAATACACTTCGGGCACTCAATTCTTCTGGCATGGGGATCATTCTTTTATTCGTGTCTGTTTCAGACCTGATGAGTGACTCTAACTCGACCTTGACAGTTTACACAGCCCCTGGACAACCGACTCTTACTCTCACCACCCTCTCATCCTCTGCAATCCAGATAGACGCCACCCTGAATGGCGGGGACAGAGACACTGCTGACGTCACAATTGACGTGTACAGGAAGCTGGGCACAACTGAACAAGGTGCTGCGAAATACACTCTTCGTAAAGCCACTGAATTTTGTTTGTACTGACCATTAACAATGAGAATTTAGTTCTTCTTTTTACTACTACGTTCAAATGACTGGTACATGCTGAAATTTTTATCGTCTTTTCTCCGCTTTCGGGCCTCCCTCTCTGCTATTTTTTTAACAAAAAAAGCGGAAAAGTTTTTTCCTAAGTAGTAACATGTAAAACTTTTACTTATTTTGGTACTTCAATTCAAATTACAATTGTGTTTGAATATTTAGACATTTTTGTTGATAATAAACTTACTTTCAAATTTCACATTGAACATGTGTTCAAAAAGTTAACTAAATTTTGTGGCACTGTATGGAAAGCTAGGTATATTTTTTCTAAAAAGCAGATGCTTCGCTTTTCCAAAGCATATGTAATTCTTAAAATACGGCAATACATTCCGATCTCACCTTACCGAGATAATGAAATTACAAAAAGAATCTTGAGAGAAATTTTAATCAAACGTAGATATGAATCAATCAAAGAATTTATGGACAATAACAAATTGCTTACTGCTTTTTATTTATACTTTTTTGAGAAATTTAAATATTTGCTTATGGAATTGCGATCGGACAAAATAAACGGCTTCTGTCTCAGATTTACTCCGAAAAAAGTGGACCATGTACCAGGAGCAAAGCGAAAGGCGTAATTAAAGTGACAAAACTTTCTACTAACGCTAAACAGAGATCGCTTACAGCTAGAATTGTGCAGGCTTTTAACTAAATAAAACAAAATGTCTTGATACCTGTTTATATAAATGAAATGTCACAAGTTAGCTGTTTGAGATTCTATAAACAGTTTTTTCAAATTTACCTAAAAGACAATCAGGACCTCTATAAATTGTTTTTTAACTTCAGCCCTTAAATTAATTTGTTTGTTGAGTTGATGCGGGCTGTCTTCTCTTTACTCTTCAGGATATTCTACTCGATGAGTAGTACTGCTCTTTAGGATCTCCCTCCAGACATAGTATATTATTTTTGGCGTTGTATATGTAGCTGGTAAAGCAACTCAAATTTAAATTCAATTTCAAATTCCTTTATTCAAACTTGTGTAATCGATTGAGTAAACTCAGTGAAAAGAGAAAAATACTTTTAAGTCATCTAATGACTCAAATAAGAGTTGAAGTTCAAGAAGTTTTTGTAATTCTTTGTTCTAACTTTTTTAATTTAACATCAGTCTTCTCAGTCGCATAATCCACGTTGAATTATGCGACTGCGAACACAGATGTTTGTACGTGAATAAATCAACTTGAATCAATTTCAGGTCGTGTTCTCACAAACCAATCTCATTCGTCCTTGATCAATGACAACCACGAGCTAGTTCCAGGCACACTTTACACCTACTATATCCAGGGTGTATACCACCAGATGGGCGGAGTGTTTTCTGCTGAGGCATCCCAGTGCACTAATCCAGCTGATCCACTCCAGGTGCGAATCTACACGTCCGAGGAGAACCTGGTGACCATCAGGTGGAATGCACCATTGGGGGGAATCACAGGTCAGTAATCATGAGTATATCATGCAAGAACAGGTTTCTTAATTCATCAATTTTGCGTTCTTCAGCTTGATGTGAATTTTAAAAGGAATCCATTTTGGAAACAATAATTCGATCAAATTTTTTGAAGGGTGCTCACTCTCATATATTGCCTCAAAATCATCTTTAAAGCCTTTTTTTCTAATATTGCTCCGTCAAAAATGCGTGTACTCATACACTTACCCAAAAATTTAGACAAAATTTTTGACTTTTGTTTTTTAAATCCGCCGTCCTTCTCGAGAAAATCCTATATCTGTCCCTATTTACCAAGTTAAGACCTAGTCTCTCAATGGTGAAAAGAGTTTCTTCTATTTACGCCAATGCATTTTCTGTCATCGAGATTTTTTTTGTCAGCTTGGGTAAAAATTTAAACTTTACTTCAGACTATGAATTGTCCATAAATGGCAGTGCTCCTGTAAACATGGCCTCTCTAATGGGATCGGCCGGAGTGACCGAAGCAGTGACAGCTGCCACTCTGACAAGTGACACCTCCTACAAGTTTGAAGTCAGGACCACATTCTTGTGCACTGAAGGTTCAGTGACCAAAACCTCCAACTATGTCGAGGCGCTCACTTACACCAGGCCGGAAAAGCCAGTGATTACAAGCGTAAGTGTGTATAACAGACATCATGAAGGAAATAATGAAGGTCTAATTTTGACAAAACCAAACTCACAAAAAAATATACGAAATAAGCTTTTGATTATGATTTAAACAAATGGATAGCCGAAGGTAAGAAGCGGAAGCAATCCCAATTATAATTACACAACATTCTCAAATAGCTAAATGCAATTTCACATTTTGAAAAGAAACTGTAAAGGTTCATTTTGAGTTCTTCGCTGTGAACATATTTCTACAAAGCTAAAAAAAAAACAAAGAATTCTAAATTGTGTCAATTAAAAGCAGTCGTCCATCGAATTTCCATCCCTATAAAGAACTAATTCAATGATTAAGCATATGAGAATTTTGTACCTAGTATTGAATCCCCCTTTTGCAAAACGGAGAAGGGAGTAGTTAAAGAGCAGCTAAGTATTTTGTCTACCTGTTAATAGTTTTTAAACCAATATTTTTTTGTTTTGCTATTTTTTTCTCAAAAATTCGTGCATTTCCAGGCTCTTCCCACGAGTACTTCAACCATTCAGGTCAACATGACTACCTCTGACTCACTGGAAGGACTGACATTCACAGTGTTCAGCAAGGGAGTCCAGGTGGGCACAGTGAGTGGGGGCGACACCCACTTTGACCACTCGGGTCTCAGAGGGGGGTCTGAGGAAGTATACACTGTGACGGCCACCGTGGGAGGTAATACTGCAAATCAGGGCAACGAGCTGGTCTTTTATTAATGACCAGTCTTTTATGGTCACTAATAAGTTACTTTTTTGAAACCAAGAAAATTTTCAATAGAAGCAAGTTTTTATAGAAAAAACAAGGTTACAATCCACTTCAAAAAGCTGGGCTGCGCTGTTAAGAATCGTGCACATATTTAACACTCTTATATAGGTCTTGGTGGTTTTTTGTTTGTTTTTTTTTTCATGAAAATTCTCTAATAACAACAGAGGAGTATTTATACGTATTGATGCATATATGAATGCACTTAGGTGTTTATGCACTTTTTGAGTTCAATTCAAATTCAGCGAAAAAAAAAGAACGACTCCTAGTTTTGAAATTGGAATTTTTCTCAAATTGGTTTCATTTGATCATTAAAGAGTCAATCATAATTTTTTCTAAGAATCACAGATTTTTTCTAAGAAAGTCCATTTATTTTTTTCTTGGAATGTCGAAAATTTATATTTTTTCTTAAAACAAGTGAGTTTTTTTCTGTTCTTTGCGTTCAGTATTCTTTTCCAACTGTTTATTGGTTATAATTTAGATTTTCCAGCGGAATAAAAACTTTGCCTATTGATTTGGTCTTCTCAACTGGGGTTAATTTTTTTGGGGAGTTTATTGTCTTTTTGTTCTGAAATTTTCAAAAATTAAATCAGCATTTTCTTCTTTTAACTTACAGAAATTAAACCTGATGTATTTTCTTCATCGAAGTTCGTTAAATGGGCAATGTTCAAAAGTTCTCAATTCATTTTTTTTTCAGTTTCGTTGTGTCTTATACCTTTCCAAAACTCTGTTGGCTGCATTAGAAAATTTACAAAAAACTAACTGCTTGAACCTGGTATTTTTTGCTACCTCTTAAATTTGCAAAGGTTTTGCAACTGGATGTCATATTTATTTCCATTAAAATTAATGTTCTCAGAATTCACATGTGAGAAGTTATGTTTTCATTTTGTTTCATAGTAAAATCAAATTCACTGACTGTTTTTACTCTTTTGGTTCAAAGATAACACCCATGTTTACAACAAAAAAAAGTCAAGATTTTATCTTCGTGTGTGACCTCTTTTTTTCTACTGTGTTCTTGTTCTTTCTTTTTCAATCAATCAATGATCGGATTTCTGTTAGCTTTTGTTGGGTTGTTTTCGTTCCCGCAGCACGGGTTTTCTCTACTTTGAACACTATAAAACAAGTGAAAAGCGATTGGTTCTTAGAGTTTCCTTTTTAATTGGCTTACGATTATTTCAATTTTTTTTTTCACTTTTTGACTAGCCACAAAAAGCAATAAATGGAGTCGCAATTTCTAAATGATGTGCAATAATTTCATCTGAACACAAATGTTTAGGAAAAATTGAGCAATTTTTCCTTTTTGGTACCAATTCGCTCCATGTATCACTTTTTGAGAGCTTTGTTTCTCTTTTTCCGATTTCTCAATTTATTCCAGTTTAAATGTTATATCTAATCCTTGTTTGCAAAAATATTGGTTTGTGTTTTGTTTTTGATTTTTTTGGCTTCCTGGTTTTCGACTGAAGCTTTTTCGGCTCATTTTTTGAGAGTAAGTTTTTATTGGTGGGTGTTTATGCTTGTGCTTGTGCCATGACGTTTATAGCAAACGTTTTATTTTACTCATTAAGTTGTAGTTTCAAGTTATGATGCAAAGGTATGATTCTTTTTCAAATTAAATATGATTTTTTTTTCGGCTCAACATACTCTTTAAAAGGACTATTTGTAAGATTCGATGAACGTGATTCAGGTATTTTTATGTCGTGAAGAAAATTTCTCTGGAAAGTCTTAAAGTTTGTTCAGGCTCAAAAATGATTTTTTTTTTCGGTTTGACTTTTGATTTTTTTTAAATTCAGTTTATTTCCTTTGTTTAAGGTAAGGCGGAAAACTCCACTATCGAACAACAAATTGCAAAAGCCACGAAAAACATGATCACCTTTTAGTTTTGAAAGTGGAATTTATCTTTCAGATTTCCCAGCGGAATGAAAACTACCTTATGATCGAGCTTTCTTCAATTGAGTTAATTGTATCAAAAAGGTTCAATCAAACATGGTTCTTGAAATTTAAAAAGCTTTCAGACCACTTTTTGTCTATGAACAGCAAAGCTTTTTTAAAAAAAACACGTCAGTGTTTCCTCGCGTTCATTAACTCTTTTCGAATTGTCTTTTGGCTATATTTTGAAGTTCTGAATTCTTTGGTTTTATCTTTTAAGAATTACTACTGTTTTAGAATAAAATCTTCTTGTACTTTCTCGATGTGCTATTTATATAATCTGCTAAATCTCATAATTCCATTGCAGAATATACGAGCCTCTTGAGCGATCCAGTGATTGGCTGTTCGTTTCCAAACCGGCCTACCAACATCTACTTCACGCCAGTTGATGACTCGTCCGTTCAGTTCCGGTGGACCTACCCATCTAACGAAGCTCCGGATAGCGGAAATGTCTTTTACGATATAACAGTCAACGGAAGTCTGGACCAGGACAACTACGATGGCTTCAGTTACACAAAAACCGGCCTGGGACCACTGGAGAGTTTCAACTACACGATCGAAACAGTTCTGGTTTGTGATGCCGACGGGTCCGCAACAGAATATGACTCAACGTTTTTAGGGTTGCCTGATATGTACTGGGGGTACACTAAACCGTCTGTTCCTGTGCTGGCCCTGGATGGAGTTTCCACAGTTTCTACTATTGCGGTAACCTTGGACAACCCTGGATCAAACGCGTGGAGTCCATCGTATGATAAAATAAGGTAAGCCTAGGCAAAACATCATTTTTTGAGGCATGCTTTTAATGAAGACAAGCCTTTTAGTGACCTTCAGACTTGAAACTAATCTTTTCCATGCTACTTTTAAGTGCTAGATTCATTAAATATCTTGCACAAGAAATCTTGGTATTAATTATTAAAAACTTTTTTTTCCACCGATTAAAAACTTTTTTTCCACCGATTTTCAGCCGATGACTTATATTGCGAAGTATTTTTTATGCAGATGTCATTCAGTACATTTATGCTCCCAGATGTGTAATAGAATTAGCAGCATTTAAAATCTTATCGCGAAACTTATGTATTTTACTTTATAAGTAAAATCTTGATATCCTTTAAGTTCATTCAATTTACATGAAAGGTTCTTCGATCCAAAAAAAAATCTTCCTCCCCAGAAAGCTATTCTACTCCTTCACGTTTCAAAGGTGCTCTTTTTATCGACTTGAAATGTTTATCCATCCTCTGGTGGGCAAATGGGGTAAGGCAAGCCTTTCACATCACGAGGGTCGTGCGTTCGAATCCCAATCCAAACGATTGGAGAAAGTCACAATTGAAGAGGTCCCAGTTTCATCCGCCTTCTCAAGGCGGGACCGGCTACTGCAAAATGGTTGACATCCCCTTCTCCGCGGGTGGTCCTGCATTGAGTATGACCGGGGTCAATTAAAAATAATTATAAGTAAATGAAAATGGGATTGGATGTGATCTAATATCTGATTTTGAAATTGAGGTGATGCTCTAAGGACATACTAATTGCAAATTAAGTAACACTTAATGCAAAAAATTACAGTTAAATTTTTAATACATGTTATGATGATTGCACGTTATCCAATTGTAACTTTAATCGCAGGCTTTTCCGAGATGGATTCGAAGTTCACGTGACCACTGACAGCACTGACCCCTACAACCACACTGACACCAACCTCACCGCTGCAACTGAGTACTTCTATGATGTAGAGGTCACTTGGAACAGACTCACTGCATTCAGTGACACGCCCCTCTACGAGTGCACATGTAAATAACAAACCCCCAAATATTCTCAGTAAAACAAACTTTAACAAAGTTTTGACTATGGAAACAAAAAAATACACCTACAAACCATAGATATTGCGTTTTGCAGTTTTGATTTTAAAATACTTCTCAGCAAGCAGAGATTTTATATTGTTTTTCAAATTATAAAAAAAAATATTTGTGTAAGAATAAGTGTCTGAAAACGGGATAGTAGGAAATTTTTTATTAAAAACTTTCATGCAGTTATTAACTGAGTTTTAATGAACGAAGCGCATTTTTTGCTGATTTTTGTTGAGTCAAACTGAAAACGCATCAAAACTATTACAGAGAACCTGTTTTTTTTTGCTTAAAAATTGTTGAAAAAAGAAAGAAGCAAAGTTTTTCAATCAACGATTTTGAAGCAATTTCACCTCTTCATTGGCATTTGATTCCGTTGAGTTAGGACTGGAGTGTAACTCATAGAGTAATTTCGGATAGGGTACACCGTCTGCTCGTCACGCTATCTTATTTTCGGCCGGATAGATTCGTGCAACTTCTTAGTCTAATACCGATCCTAATCTTACTCTTATACTATCTAGTCTCAGGTTGTTTAACTAGTCTCTGCTAGGCTCAATAGATCTAGGGTATACTGGTTTATTGCGGCTGCTGAAGTGCTCGGGAGAGTCCAACTAATTTCTAAGTTAAATTCAAATCTCTCTGGTGCTGAAATTACAAGTAACTTCAGCACTTACAAATAAGTGGGTTGTTAGTTAGATGGATCATGATTGGTTAATATTAAATACTTTACATTGGTAAAACATTTAATTTATCCAATCATAAAATATAGTTTAGATCAGGTTCCACCCATCCGGGTTTTACAGAGTTTTTTAGAACAGTTCTTTTGTAGTTCAAGGATGGATGATGGACGTTGGTATTTGGCGAACATCATTTTTCTTTTGTTTCCTTTTTGTTAAGGAAGTTCCAGGGATCTGGAATTGAGGACACAAGACGTTGTGTTCTTCTTGTGACAACGACTGAGTCTCTGCAACAGCATCAATTCTGGTTTCAGAATGGTTGGCTATGTCAGGTTTTTCTGTTCTTCGGAGAGAACTTCTTTTGTGTTTGATCTAGCTCGGGAATGGCGTGGAGATTGTGCGTGGAGGGGATGCCTGGTTACTCGGATCTGTACGTATACTTGAACATCGAGGTGGTCATTGGTCTAGTTCAATGAAGTCCTTTTCTGCGAGGTCAAGTCGTACTCTAAATCCTTTGAGTTGTGATTGTGAGCGGCATATCGATTATAGTTGGTCATTCTCTCTCGAGTGTAGTGAGGTCGTCTTGTCTTTTGATGTTCGTCCTTGGTGTTGTATTCTGATCTATATATTGCATCATGTGATTTTACATTTTATAAAACTTTTATTAATTTAATATTTTTTAATTATGATTTTAGTTAGTTGTTTTCACAAAAGCTTTTTGTTTTAGTTCGGTTATTTTGAAGAGTTACTCACCCTTGAGTAGCTCTTATTAAAAATAAAGGTGTGGTCACAAAGCGTGGATGTAGCACGGTGGGTTAGGCCGGCTATAGAGCATGCTCAGGACGTCCTTTCCTGGTGGGTTAGGCCAGGTGTGGGAGTATGATTTCATGCGGTTTTTATGAGGGGTCCTGTTATGTGACAACATTTTATGTTGGGTTTGTTGTGGTTTTACTTATGTTTTGTTGGTTATGTACTTTTTCCAAAAAGCAAATTGTTTGTGGTATGGGTTTGTCTTTTGACTTTTTTGTGTTTTATTATTTCTTTCTAAGACTTTGTAATAGTCTTCAAAAGAATAAATTATCCAGTTTTAAACTGGGTTAATCCGGTTTGGGTACCGTTGGTTTCCTTTTCTTAGTCATGCTGTTATTTTATGATTTGTGGTATTTAGTAAGCTGCGTTGGTTAGTTTTGTTTAGTATATGATTCCTTTCCAACCGGGTTAAAGGAAAGTTTGAAACTTGTTATTATTTGTTAGAGTTGTTGAGTGTGAAAACTTGAAACTGAAATTCATTATTTTAAACAATTCTTCGTGGGCGAGCTGTGCGAGTGTGGATAGAATTTCTGTGCGAATGAATGAAAATATCAAAAGGTTAGTACTGCAATTGCATTTTATTAATTTACTGCATAGAATTTGGAAATTTACTGCTAGTAATGGGGGAATTTTAAGATACAAATTTTCATCATATGTAGATTTACTGCTTTTAGGGGAAAATTTTATAAATTAATTTACTGCATTGGTATTATATTTATTTAATTGTTGGTGCAAAAGTTAAATAGGATTTTAAATAGTTTTGAAGAAGTTTGCTATTTTTTATTTTTCTTTTGTGAATTTTTCAGATGATTGAAGATGAAGGCTAAAAATCTAAAGAAAACATGAATAAGGAATGGTGAGTTTTTCAATATTTTAATTAGTTAGTAATATTCATTTAGTTCATACTTACCTGTTAGTCGTCGGGGAAAAAACCGTGGGGGAAGATATCGTGAATTAGTTCTGAAGTTGTTAGTAGTTTAGCTAAGATGCGGATGATATTTTTAGTTTGAAGTAGTGGCCAAAGCAATTGAAGTGCCTTAATAGTGGTTAGTTCTTCAGTGCCTACTGCAAACTCATAAGGTGTGTTTTGGATTAAGTTATATAACTTGTGGTTAAATTTAGTGTTGTGGATGAATTCTAAAATGGGGATTTCTATAGGCTGTACAAACTCGTGCGGGATAAGGAAGGGTCGGGATTCTTCTGCGTTGAAGGTCTTGGTGATGGGGCAGAAAATATACATTTGGGTTATGGGGTCATAATTACGAAGAATACCATGAAGGTTAGTATTTTTAATACAATATGTGAAATTTAGGAAATACGGTGAAGTGTATTTTGAATTGATGAATTGAAAGCGATGGTGTGGTTGTCTAGAGGGTGTGTGGAGGTCAAAGTGATTTTGGATGAAACGATAGTAACTGTATGTATGTGTTTGTTTAGTTCGCAACATAATATCGTGTGAGCAGTGTAAATCTCTTTCGTGTGGTGCAAGGAAATGAAAGGTTAGTGAAAAGATTTGGAAGCGTTCGTTAAAACTTTCGTACGCTTGTGTGCTTGTTAGTGCTTCTGAAATAATGTGATCAAACTTTCGGTCGAAGATATTTAGTGTAAATACATATGGTGTCTTGATGAAAAATTTCTCGGTGATTTGTGGGTTAGCGAAGCGATCGTCGTCTAAGAATTGATCTTGGTTAGCTCTGATGATGTTGTGATCATAGTATTCTAGTGTGTATTCGTTAGCTCTAGGTGCAGTGTGTATTTTTAGTGATTTTTTATATCCAACGTAAGTAAATTGTCTAGCGGTGAGTGGTGTAGTTAGTCGATATAGCATGTCTTTGTTTCGGTCTATATCAATGGATGTGTTAGTTAAAGGTAAGCAAAGAGGGTTAGTGAAATGATAGTATGAGGTCCAAGAGAGAGTGGGCATTAAAACGTATTCGTCTACAAAGTTGCGTGTTTCGTTAGCGTCATGAGGGGTGTTTAAGGTGTATTGTGGAAATGAGGGTAAAGTGATGGCTAAAAATTCTCTAGTGTTAGTATGTTGGGGGTGGTTGATGTATTCTCGGGCTGTTCCTGGTTTTGCTGGGAAAGGATGGTTGGGGAACTTTCTTTTAAAAGTGCGATAAGCTCTATTAGTGTTGAGTGAGGATTCAGTTGATGTGGATGATGGTGCTAATGATTCGGTATAATTTGAAGAGGGTGTAGGGGGATTGGATGAATTTGTAGTGGAGGAGATTTGGTTTATGGTCGGGGTGTTAAGGTGGTAGGGTTGTTGTTGGAGGGTAATAAAATTGTCTAGCTCTGGGGAGATTCGGGGGGTGTCTGGAGATGATTGGTCAGAATAGTATGAGGAGTAGGTTGGGGTAACTTGGGAAGCATAAGAGGGTGTAGGAGTGATTGGGTCAGGGTTATTTGATAATATGGGTTGAAAAGGAGGTTGAGAAAAATGAGAAGGGTTATGAAAATTATTGGATGGAGATGGTTCTGAGTCGGCAAATTCGTCGGGGGTTTCAATATTCGGGTTATTTAGCTGTGAAATGGAGTATAAAACTGAAATTTGTGAGTTAGTGTCGGAATTCATGCCTGATGTTACATTGCTAGATGGAAAATCGGGTGGCGGAAAAGCAAAAAGTGGTATTATTGGGATTGAAGAGGTAAGGTTGGTTGGATGGGAATTTGATCGATGGAGTGATCCAAGTTGGCGGCTCATCGTGGGCTAAAAAAATTATTATTTTGAGATTGAAAAGCGGTGGTATGGGGCTGTTCAATAATTTGTTCATAAGTATTATCATCTTGTGATGGATGTGTCATTATATGTTGGACGGGATTTTGTGATGTGGTGAGTCGAAAATTTGGATTATGTGTGATTGCTAAATTTCTAAAATTTCGCGGGGCTAGGGATAGTGGATGGTTATTTGGTAGGGGTGGTAATTGTGGTGCCGTTGGCTGTGTGTCGACATTGTTATGTTCTTCGTCGTATGTATTTTGTCGTGTTGTTATTTTTGTGTTATATTCTTTTATTTGTGCGTCTAAAAGAATTTTGTTTATAGATGTGGAAAAAATTCCAAAAAATCCTGCAAAGAGTATGCGTGCTACGCTTGCTTGTCTGTTTACTTGTGTGTGTATAGCACATGTATTGTAGATTCCTTTTAAGAGTGAGAAAAGAAATCCAATAAAGTTAAACATTGCGTATAAAATAGTCAATTTTTCTAAGATGTAGTAGGGCCATCCTAGAAAATCTAGGATCTCATTTTTGAGTGTAACAAAGCTAAAAATGTTAATTGGTGATATATCTTGGGGACGGTATTTTTCGCCGTTTAGATATATATAATCTTTTATGTCTTTAAAATATCCGCTATAGTCTTGCGTGTAGATATCGGCAAATCCTGCGGTTTCTGCAAGTTTGCGTAAGTTTTGGTCTATTGATTGTCTTTGTATAGTGTCCATTTGTGTTAATAATTC